TTTCTTAAAATAAGTGTATTTACCCTTCATTTTAGTAGGTAAATAAGACGATTTGCCAATGGAATCAGTATTTCTACTCCTAAAATAAGACAATTAGATAATATTCACTTGAAATAAGACAAAGCATTTTTTTTTTTCTTATTTTAAATGTAAATTGTCTTGTTCCATTGGCAAAATGTCTTACTTATCTCCTCAATTCAAGACAAAATTTACTCAATTTAAGCAAAAATAACTCATACAGATTTTCATTTTTTGAAGTGTAGGCTGAAAGATCTCATCAATCTTTAGGGAATAGCAAATATTCAGGCCAGTTAAAAGAAGCTGGATATCATGCAGCACCTCAGTGGACCAAAGTGAGAATCGTAATCAGCAAATGGAGAAAACCAAAGAGTGATGAACTTTCTCTACCAAAATGACTCTAAGAGGGGAGCAATTCTTCCTTTGAGGAGTTAAAAAAAATCTGAAATAACAGTAACATCCAAAGCAGCTCCATTGTACCTGAGTCAAGGTCAGAGTTTATAAAGCTAAATAATGAAAAAGGGTGAAGTATTAAGAAAAACAGCCGATAGGGGAAAAAAATACCCCAAAAAAGTTCTTTAAGCTATGGAATCAATAGTGGAACTTTCTTAAGTGTGTGATTAATATTACATCTGGCTTAATACTGTTAGGATAATTATCACTAATGATGTGTGAGTTTATTACACCTTAATATTAGCTGCCTGTTGGGTGTCAGAACTGATATTTTCTACAATAGTTTATCTAATTAAGACAGTTCTTCTGTCTGGACATACGGTTATAATCTTCATTCTGTACGTAGCAAAGATTTGGAAATGGAATGAGAGCGGCGTCCTTCAGCTAAGAACAAAGTGTAATATTTAGATAAAGCTGGAGCCATGGGTGTCTCCTCATCTGCTAACGTCTATGATGTAATGATGTGACGATGTGGCAGACTGGAGATGTATAAAATGCCTTTTTTACCTGTTAATCGTGGCCACTTCCTGAGAGGTTAGCCTGACTGGTGAGCAGCTGCCTTCTGTAAAATCTAAGCAATTTCTCTGATCTGAGTAAGATTACAATTTCTATCTGTCAGGTCTAAGCACCTAAAACATCATACATACATGCAGGGAAAGAAAGAAGGCACAGGGACAATTAATTTAGTTTTACTCGCGAGGAGAGCAAGAAGGAGACTGCGGAGTTTACAAATCTCCACCTCACTTTGCAGTCCCAGCGTTCTGCTCGCTATTTATTAGAAATCAGGGGTCCCTTGTTACAACAGCTGAGACTGCTCTAGAGATCAGAAACAACATGAAAAA